TTTTACACAAATGTCACCATAATAGAAATTAATGACATATTTGGCACCCGTTTAAAAATATTTACAAAACTAACTGTAACATCCTCCATACCGGGTTAGTGATTAAAGTGTAAGATTTTAAAATGTCAGTGATCAAATTAAATTAAATTAATAGAAATTAATGAATTATTAAGTGAATGAGAACTAAAAGGGTAAAAGGGTCATTGAGCAAAGGTAATAATTAAATAATAGATATTGGGTATTATAATATCCAAGTGAAAGAAACAAGAGTTTCCAGATAACTCTTGACTCTTCTTTCTTCTTTAACGTGAAGAGCCCAAGCTAAGGTGAGTTTAATTTCTCTTGATTAATCCTTCAAATTCAAGCATGGTTTTAATTATGGAAGCCTTAAGAAAGATTATAGAAGGAAAAAGAGTTGTAGAAACTCAGAGAATTGTAAGTTAAGGGAGATTAAAGGTTAGAAGTCATTGAATGAAATATTGGATTAGAGGTCATAATAAGAATTAGAAGTTGGATTTGACTTGTTATCAAGCTAATTAAGAAGTATAAGGTGATAGGATTAAAGTTAGAACATGTTGGTATTTGAGTATGATTCTTGAATATCATGTAAAAGATAGGATTTTGAGTTTAAGGAAGTGATTATGGAGTAGAAACGAGTTTAATTATGTGTATGAAAGTTAGGAATATTAATGGAAGTGAAGTATGAGGTATGGAGCTGAAATGAAGTGAATTTCGAGCTCAAAAATGTGATTTCTGGGCAAGGGGAATCGGTACCCATTCAAGGGGAACCGATACCCCCTCAAACGAACATGGAATTCCAGAATGCCAGAGGGGAACCGATACCCCCACAGGAGGGAACCGATTCCCCCCTAAAGGAAAATGTTAATATTGGTTTAATAAGTTCGTTTAAGTTGCTAGTATCCAATTAAAAGGTGTAGGTATCTAATAATTGTCTTAAAATGTATAATTATGTAGATTCAGAGCCTAAACGAGTTCCGGAATCATTGACAAGTAAGATCGATAAAAAGGGAAGATAAGAGATTTAAATGGACTAGTGAGGCCAGGTGAGTGCATATTAATTCATTTATGGTGCTAAATGGAAACAAGACTTGTGACAAGTCTATTTCCTATGTTTAATGCATGAATATATGATTATATGTATATGCATGACATAAATTGTATGTATGCATGATTATATGTGTTAACATGCTTTTGAATGAATGATATGAAAAGTGAGATAAACAAAGTATGGTTGATATAGGGTAATATAAGAATAGCTCATAAGGTTATATGCATAGGTAATATAAGTTATAAGATGAGAATATATAGGAATATCAAATAAGTTATGAGATAAGTTATGTGACATGATCTATATATATGAGTTTATGTGATATAAAAGTGTATAAGTGAAATAACATGATAGGTGATAAAACCGTAAGCCTATATGATTATGTGTTATATGTTACATGATATGACATGCAAGTTATATGAACAAATGAGAAATGGTATAAGTTATATGAAACGATCTACGTGAATACATGCACTTGTGATACATGTGATATGAGATATATGGTTACACATACATGTGGTATGTGATAGAAAAGAAATAACAAGTGATATGAAATGTTATAAATGATAATGCCCATGTTATGTGATATGAGAGCTAGGGGTATAGTTGGCATGCCAAGAGTCGAGAGTTTACCTATGTCTTTCGAGACATATGGAAAGTTTACCTAGGTTCTTCGGGACCTATGGACAGTTACCGAGGATCTTTATGACCTCTGGACAGTTACCGAGGATCTTTATGACCTCTGGACAGTTACCGAGGATCTTTATGACCTCTGGACAGTTACCGAGGATCTTTATGACCTCTGGACAGTTACCGAGGATCTTTATGACCTCTGGACAGTTACCGAGGATCTTTATGACCTCTGGATAGTTACCGGGGTCTTTGTGACCTCTGGATAGGTCCTTCGGGACATTTATATGAGCTGTGGTGACAGCATAGTGGTGCACAACCTCAATAGACTCACATATCTACAGTTCTCACAGGTGCACATGGGCTAATAAGAGATAACATGGAATGTACTGTATATGATATATGTGTGTTAGTGATTATTGTATATGCTATAAGATATATGATATGAGCTTAATTGATTATATGAACAAGAGAATAGAAATATGAAAGGTGATAATATGATAATGATAGGAAATAAGATAATTATATGTATGCGTGGATATGTATATATATATATATATATATATAAGAAAGGTGCATAGTAAGAATCATTACATGTATATGTGGGTATGATGCTTGTATGTGATATGTTAGTAGAAATTGTTCAAGCATGATTACGAGTTAGAGTTTTATTATATGTTTTATGCCTCACTAAGTCAACGACTTAGCGTGTGATTGTTTCACCCGTAGGTTACAGAAGTGAGAAGAGTAAAGAGCTAAGAGGAGCAAGACAGGTCAATTCTCCTTACCCAATTGTCAGATCAGAAAATATATGTACGGTATATAGAGTGTAGTTGGCATGTAGTCTAAAGATATAAATGGTATGAACTCTGATATATTTTGTAAACGTTTTGAATAAGTTAAATGTTATCCAAGTTTTTGAATTACTCACTATTTTATACGAATAAATGTTTGAAAAGTCAATGTGACACTTCGAACTCGTATCCGGGTCGGATACGGGTTGGGGGTGTTACACTAACATCCGAATTTTTTACACATTTGGTAAGGCGCGTCCCGGGGAGCGCACATTCGACCACGTGACGTAAAGTACGGTGTAGGGGGTACGCCTTCCTGCAAAAGGTATTAGATCATGAAATATAGTTTGAACGATGTCTGACAGAAAAATATATAGGGTTAGAGTGATATTTCGAGAGAAACGCCAATTCTATTATGACATAAATATTAGTTTAGGTTGATAACCAATAATAAAGTACTTTTAATAATAGTATTTTCGATTGATGATAAATTACCCTTAAATTTAGGTGTGAACTTCATATTCACCACTAACCTTGAAGAAAATAAAACAAGAGAAAATAAAAAATTATTATATGGATCTAATTCACCATATTATTTATAATCTCAACTAATAAAATTTATCTATTTTAAAAGAATTTTTAAATAATTATCTATTTCTTAATTATATGTAGGGAAGGAATGAAGATTCATCTTTAAAAATAGTATGGATAAATTTATTATCTGGAATGAATTAAAGTTCATCTAATACTTTTGTAGAGAGGAGGGATAAAATGCAAGAGGGCAGGGGAGACAGAACGTTTGACCGTTGATGAGCTTAGGGGTTTCGCATGGCGACGTGGCTTCGTTCCCCACGAAACGGTGACCCCATGATTGATGATGAGGCCGTTTAGCTAACCACGCACCATCCCTTTGATTGTGACTTCGCCTCTCGCTGACTTCATCTCTTCTTACATTTGCCAGAAAAATTTCATTAAATTGCTGCATCTGGTCTGTTGCACACCAAATGTTTGTGTTTTGGTTTAGCTGAACTTGCTTTTTAATCAATATCTGATTTTAACGTGTATAGATTTAAGTGGGAAGACATTTGATGTTTATTTTTGTGAAATTTTGAGTATAAATATTATGGATAAGAAAATAATGTTGGAAAGAGTTTTAATTATGTTTGATGATTTAATATGAATTCATTAAAAAGATAATAATAAAATAACATGTTATTCTTTTTATATGTATTGAGTTTGAGTAGTTATGTATGTATTTATGTTATTAATAATTATTTTTTTTAAAATAAATATTATTTTATAATCACTTTAGATAATTCTAACATGTCAATTGGGATTTAATTTTATTTATGTTTTATTACTGACATGATAATTATATCATCTTACGCTATTCTATAAAAAATAATTTTAAAAATTATATATTTTTATAAATTTAAAATTATTTTCTGATATAATATTTGCGATTTAATTTTATTTATGTTTTATTATTGACATGATAATTACATCATGATGTTCTATAAAAATCAATTTTAAAAATTATATATTTTTATAAATTTAAAATTATTTTCTGATATAATATTGTATCACGTTAATAACTATATACATATAAAATATCACGTGATTTATCATATATATTTTTTTAAAATTTAATGGTTTAAGTAGTAATGACAATAGGTTATATATATATATATATATATATAAGTTTAAAATGTTTAAGTTTAAAACAATAAAGACTTATTATGTATTTATTTTAAAAATTGAGGGAGACAAAAGTCTATTTTAATTTAAACGACAAGAGACTAAAATATTATTAAATCAAAAATTTTGGTAAGGGCAAGAGCTTCACTTGCTCTCTATATAATTGGTCATTGTATTCATGCAAATTTTGAATCATCTAAATTAAAAATTTAAAAAAAATTATTTATAAAAAATTTAAATATTATTATTTAAAATTAAATATTATATTATATTATATTAATATTTATTATATATCTAAATTAAAAATTAAAAATTAAAAATTTTAAAATCTACTTCGAATATTTAAATATTAAAAAAATATAAATATGATATTGTGTTTTAATTAATCTATAGTGATTATATATAATATTTGTTCTAAATTTTTTTAATCATTCAACAATAAAAATTTAATAACATTATAGTATTTGATATTCAAACTTAAAACTTATAAAAAATAATAACAATCCTTTTAATTATTAGGATAACTTGACTCGTGCAAGGTAAGACACTTTATTTATCCAATATATTAAAAAGAACTTAACGTAACGGCGTAGAGATATTTTTCTTTGAGATTTCCCTCAATTTACTGAGGAACAGACAAACTATTAAATGCCAAAAATCCGGCCTCAGATTTATATCTTTTATTTGTTGATATTTGCTATGCAAATCTATATTTTGGGCCGCTGTGAATGGAGCGTGGAACATGAAAACCCAGAAAAATAATGCTTTATTTACCTAAAACATATATATATACATATTATTAACAAACGCAACCCGCCAACCCCACCATTTTCTCTATCCAATGTCTGCTACTACCTGAGGAAATTTCCTTTTTTTTCATCCATTTTTTCCTTACTGGTTTTTGTTTGATGAACAGAGAAGAACAAAGGAAAGAACCCATCTTTGGAAGAAAAGGAAAAAAAGAGTTTTTTTATTTGTTGCACTTTAGAAAAATATGATGGGTTCTTCTTCAAAGGGGGGAGGAAACAACTATGATTATTCATTTAAGATACTGTTGATTGGTGATTCTGGAGTTGGTAAAAGTAGTTTGCTTGTTACTTTCATCTCAAACTTTGTTCATGATCTTTCTCCCACCATTGGTAACTCCTCTACTTTCTATTTTCAACTCCTTTTTTGGCTAACTTACTGTTCTTGCATGTTTGTTTTGGCTTTGGGATTCATACCCAGGATTTACTTTGATTTTGTGTGTGTGCGCGTGTGTGTTTGTGTGTAAATGGCTTTTAAAATGAATGAAAAGGGTCTTTTTCTATGTATTGGGTTGGCAAGAAATTGAAGAGAACGGGTTAAAAGCAATCCTTTTTGTTTTTTCAATTGTTTATGGAGTTTGAGACAGTGAACCGATGAACAGTTTAGGCAATTGTAAATTTGTAACTGAGTAGATAACTGTAAACATTAGGCATGGAAATTAATTCACTTGCCCTTGAAGCAAATTTGCACTTTAGTCTGGACTTTGGAGCCTCTTCCTTGTACATGGCTTGGTAGAGGGTAAGAGGGGGAAAATTATATGAAAAGCTGTCCCTTTTATCTGTATTTTGTGTTCATCTTCTTGTACTATGCTTGAGCAATATCTTGGCCTTTATGTTCTACTTTATGTCATATGTTCATTGAACTGTGCTCGCTATTTTTGATGTTTCCAGGGGTGGATTTCAAAATCAAGATGGTCACAATTGGTGGGAAAAGATTGAAGCTTACAATCTGGGACACAGGTAATTGATGGATATAGCCAAAGCTTTGCAACTAGCTGTTCTTACTTTGACCTATATTTTCCTGTGTTTCTCCTTTGTATCTTGTTCGTTGCTCGACTATTTTGTATGTGAGAGGCCGGTCGTTGATGCTGCTGATGTTCTGCTGCACTCATCTTGAGTATTGATTGAGAAAAGAAAAGTGGGGTTTGAAATGTTTCGTCCTTGTTGGAAACAGCAGGAAGGTTGAAGAATGTTTTTGATGTTAAGTACAGGAGTAGTAGTTAACCTCAGAATTTGTCAAGATTTCGACATTTTTATTGATGGATAAAATTTTGAGAATCTCAAAAGATGTGTCTGTTTGATCTTTGAATCAAAATGGTTAGGAGAGGAGTAGCTTAGCAATATATCATAAGTTTTGAGGACATAAAATGATTCTAGTGGATTTTGAAAAGTAGAAAAAAAGCACAATGGAATCGGATATGCTGCTTCATGTTTAGAATCCTTTTTGTTTTGGAGGCTAAGTCTATAATCTGATTTTAGTTGAATGCCTGATGGACCAATTATAAAACTAGTAAGTTCTAGTAAAAAGGTTTGAGACATTCCAATAAATCTGCAATGGTCATCGAGGCTAAGAAGTTTCGGTGCTTTATACGCCGGATGATATTGTAGGATAGCAAATGTCCCTTAAAGAGTGATAAAATCAAATGACTGCTCCTAAGGTGTGATGTGAAAGCATTGGGTATCCTCATGGATCTTAGGTAGCCGGAGAAACTTATCTATTATGTTGCAAGGAAAAGGACATGCAGGCCTAAATTTTGAGATTGATGTGCTGATTATTGGAAACGAAATAAATTTGAAATATTGCCGCAATTGTTGGAGAAACTCTGAGATGTTGAAGTACGCATGCAATAATTGGTTAGCCTATAATCCTGATGCAAATACTGCTGAAGCGTTCGGGAGTGATCTTATGCCACTAGTGAAGATAGCATTGATGAGTGTATATTTGATCTTTCTTCTATTGGATATGCTTCTATGTTGATGGAACCCAAAGAAGTGGATATTTAGGTAGATGTAAAAGTAAATATTGGCCAAAAAGTTTTTGGAGTATGCCCGTGATAATATAGAGCCGAAGAATTCGATTTATTTAACTGGAAAGACGTATTTGGAAGTTCAGTAGCAAATTATACAACGGGGTTCCTTTGAAGTTTGAAGTGTGTTCTCAAAATTTTCTCATTCAATCTCTATATGGTAATAGGGATCCTCCTTGTAGGATATCATTGAGATTACGGAAAGAATTATCAACTTTTAGATGATTTAAAATGTGGAAAATTGGTAAACAATATATACCAGGAGGTTATAATTGCCAAAGCTTAGCTTTACGCTTGGATATACCCTCTGTGCTTTCCATTAGAAGAGAAAGTGTCATCCAATATAGTTCTTGTTGTTCAGCATGATTTTATTTTTTATAAGAAGTTATTCTAAATTTTGTTCTGCCTTGCTTAACTTCCCTTACTGTGGAATTCGAGCCGGGAACTTTTCATGCACATGATTCTTGTTTTAATAGTATCTCTTACGGATCGCAGCTGGCCAGGAGAGATTTGGAACATTAACTAGCTCTTACTATAGGGGTGCACACGGGATTATCCTTGGTATGTCCTTGCAAATTTGAACATCTAGTCCCGAATATTTGCTGAACATGGTATATACCCTTATCTCTTTGTTATTTTGAAGTATACGACGTTACACGGCGCGAAACCTTCACCAACTTGTCTGAAATTTGGGCGAAGGAAGTTGAGCTCTACTCCACTAATCCCGAGTGTATCAAGATTCTGGTTGGCAATAAAGTTGACAGGGTAAGCCCTTCTCTTTTCTCCCACTGTCTACATATAGTCATATATAAACTTAAATGCCTATGACGGAGAAGGCAGTGCTCGGTTATTCTTTTCCGTGTTGAAAGATGCTTAATCAAACATCTGGATGCTTAAAATAGATGCATACAACTTGAGTTTTTAACCTTAATCTTGTATCGTTTTCGAGATATATCTAGTTCTTATGAAAAAGAAATGTGCCATTTTCAGGACAGTGAAAGGGCCGTAACTCGAGAAGAGGGTATGGCTCTCGCGCAGCAACGTAAGTGTTCTTTTCTCGAATGCAGTGCTAAAACCAGAGCAAATGTACATCAATGCTTCAAAGATCTCATTTTAAAGGTAATTTTCTTGGAGATGAATCCCTCGACCATTTAATTCTCGTAACATATTCCAATGTTTTATAAGGTTCTCCGACGATCTGATACAACGCTGTTTCACCGAGTAATTTCTGGTCCATGCCATGCTAATGCATTCTATAAGTTTACAGATTCTGGAGGTACCTTCTTTATTGGAGAAAGGGTCGACGGCGGTCAAGAAACACATTTTGCAGCAGAAACAAGCACAGAAAGCACCCGACAACAATGACTGCTGCTCTCAATGAAAAATCTGACGACGCTCGACGTATAACGAATACGGAATAATGGTACACTAGGTGATGAAGTTTCACAATAGTTGAAGAGGGTTAAAAGTGATAGACAGAAGGTGGTAGGGAGTCGATTGTCATTCCATCATTTGTAATTTTCGAAACATGGGGAGACATGGTATCATCTTAGGTTAATGTAAATTTTGTTTTCCCGTATGTGTTTTTGGTCTCATGCTTGTTTGTTATTATTAGTACTACTATTATTTTTTTTAAGAATTTTTAAGTGAAAAAAATAATAAAAATAAGATTAATATGAAATATATTATATGTAATGTAAGACGACTCATTTCTGTTTATTTGAACGGATATCATCTCGAATACAATGTTTCAATAATTTATTGGTAAAAAGATATCTACGCATAATGTTAAAATTTAAAGTAATTATTTTGATTTTATTTTTTAAAGTATTTTAACTTTTTATGTTTTATTTTAGGACAAAAAATTCTTTTATAGATAAGAACCGTTCGTTAAAAACTGAATAATATTTCAAAATAAATATTTTTTTAATATAAAAATAAAATGTTAGAAATAAAATGCTAGAAATAAAATGCTCTAGAAAGAAATGAATAAAGGTTAAAGTAAAATGTTGGAATTTTTTTTATCTTAAAATGGAGTTAATTGTATGATATGTTCATAAATTATAACTCTCATTTTAAATTAATCCTTAAACTTTTAAATACTTTAATTTCATTCCTAAACTATAGCTCTCCTTCTAAATTAGTCCTTTAACTTTTGAGCATTCTATTTTTTAAAAAAAGTGGTTTCGTACGATTTTAATAATAATCCATACAAAACACGAAACAACATGGGCCTCATTAAAAAATCTCACTAAACCTAAATGGAGGAAAAAGTGACCACCCTATTTTTAAATAAGTCCCCAAACTTTTGAATATTTCAATTTCATCCCCAAATCCATCCAAATATGTAATTAGTTTCAACCATAGTTTAACCTAAATTTTGTTTTTTTTTTCTTTCAAATATATAATAATATCAGTTGGCCTGACGATTTTATTAACAATGGATGTGATTAATATATACGTATAGCTTGGGATGAAATTGGAATGTGCAAAAAAGTTTTTGAGGGCCATTTAGAATTATGGCATAGTTTGAGGATGAAATTGAAATATTCAAAAGTTTAAGGACTAATTTAGAATGATAATAATAGTTTAGGGATTAAATTAAAACACTTAAAAATTTAGGGACCAATTTGAAATGGATGTCATACTTTGAGAACATGCAATTAATTCCTTAAAATGAAATATTGGAATTAAAATACTTTAAGTAAAAAAATATAGGATAAAATGACTTTTAATAAACATTGAATTTTTTTTAATATCATATCTTTCGATTGCTTATGTTAATTACTTAAAATGAAAGTATTTTATTCAATGATAAAACAATTTTTTTAATAATTTAAGGTGATGATAAAGTAGTATCTATTTATAATTTTTCTTAATTATTAATAATATACATACATTTTCTAAATACAACTGTTCAAACTCAAGACTTTAAAGAAAAATAATATTTTATTTTATCACTAAATCAATTAATGAATTTATTAATAATAAATCAGTTAAATACATATATCGGCTTGGACTCGCATGTTTGAGGAAAATGGTAAAATATGGAAAAAGGAAATGATTTGCTTTAACATGATCCGGAAACTTTAATTTATTAATTAAAATATAATTTATATGAATATGTAATTATAATTAAATTGGATTGACTGGAATTATAATTTATATGAATATGTAATCTTCTACTGTCTTTGTCCACCCTCGCTAAACTAAAGGAGTTTTTATTTGAATTAAATAAATAGATTGCGACACAAAAAGCTGGAGTAGCTCAGTTAGTTAGAGCGTGTGGCTGTTAACCACAAGGTCGAAGGTTCAAGCCCTCCTTCTAGCGTTACAATTTTCTCCATTTTTACTCTCCAAGTAGTAGCTAAGAAATTAATGTTATAGTCATAAACTTTTCAAACCAAAAACATTGGCCTATTATTAGCCCAGTGCCAATAACGTGAAGGTCGCAAGTTCGAGACCTGCATGGGTCAATCTCGTTTTTTCCCATTTCTCCTTACTCAAATCCCATCCTCTTTTTGGTTAACTATTGTTCTTGCATGATCGTTTTGGCTTTGAGATTCACATCCAGGATTTACTTTGATTATTTTTGTGTGTGTAAATCGTTTGAGTTCCTTTTAAAATGAATGAAAAGGGTTGTTTTTGGATGTATTGGGTTGGCAAGAAATCGAAGAAAAGGGGTTAAAAGCATCCTTTTTGTTTTCATTTTTCAAGTGTTTATATAGTTTGAGACAGTGAACAGATGAACAGTTTAGGCAGTTGTAAATTTGTAACTGAGTAGATAATTGTAAACATTAGGCATGGAAATTAATTCACTTGCCCTTGAAGCAAATTTTCACTTTGCTCTGTCCTTGTAGATGGCTTGGTAGATGTGTAAGAGGGGAAAAATATATGTTCTGTTAAAAAAAGAGAGAAACAAAAGTTATGCTAAAAAAGAGAGAAAAAATAATCATGGCCGATAGAAGGTGGCCTGAACTTCCGACCTCGTGGTTAACAACCACACGCTCTAACCAATTGAGCTATCCCAACAATATGTTTCGCAATCTATTTACTTAGTTAAAATTCATATTATTTAGTTTAGTAAGATTGGGTAAGGGTAGTAGAAGATTATTTATTTTTAGTAATAATATTTATATTTCTTTTGTATATTTTACTTATTTTGAAGATGTCTTTTTTTTTCTTCTAGAGTTTTTATTCATCTTTTTTTTAAGTTATAGTGATTCTTCTCTATGTTAAGACGAACTATTTTAATATTTATATGGTAATTAAACTTTTATTTGTATTCCTGTTTATGTAAATTACACAACTCACCTAAACATTGATGAAATATTGCACAAGTGATTGTAATCCTTTATGTTAATTTCAAATATGTGATAATGAGAGAGGGGAAGGGGAGTTTTCATGAGATTATGGCCTCAACTAGTGGAAAATGTGATTATGGTCACAAGTGCTACGCTTAAAAGGATTTGATGCGTTTGCTTCAACTGGGATGCAACTCTTACCCAATTGCATCTTTCTATTCTAATTAACTTGAAAACTACATTAAACTTTAGAAATAAGCATTCTTTATTTTCTTTTAATTCATGGTTGGACCCATTTTGAATCGGAAAAGAAAATGTTCAAGTTTAATTTGTATTGACACAATCTATCTATGCCGTGTAAAATTTTTTAGTTTTATATCCTTTTAAGATTGTTAGATGAGTCAGATTAAGATTAACAATAGTAAATGTTCAAACTATTATCTGTTCAGAATCTATTTTATGCACACCATGTGGACACTACTCCTTGAATTCAAGACATCTAGATTATTGTTTGAATTCCGTTTGTTATTTTTTGGGTTATTAACCTAATTAGAGGAGTGTTTGATGCCAAATGTATACTCAACAAACTATTAACTCTCTTTGGTATCAAATAGTGACACAAGTTGGGGGCTTTGTAGTCAGTTAATAATTGGTTTCTTCTTCCATACTAATGAACATGATGCAGCCCTTAATATGAACAAAAAAATATGGATAGTGATAATTTTAATATATACACCAATCATGCAAGAAAAAAAAGTTTTAATTATCACTTCATCGGCTAGTGATCTTACATGTAATGTATCTTGAAATTTTATTACTTTTCAGTATTTAGAAGAACAAATTATTATTTGGGTGATGGAAGGGTCTTGGGGTCCAAAATATTTTATGTTTAATTATAGTTATAAGTTTCTAATTTGGTTTAATAGTTAGGCTTTGGATCTTTCATAACGATTTAAGGTTTGAATTTTACTCGACATATTTATAATTTTCTCATTTTCGAGCTAAAATAATAATAATATGTGAATACGACACGTCAACTGACGTTAATGGTTTAATTATCAAATAAAAATTTACTTTAACAACAATGATTCTGAAATCTTTCAATTTCAATGACCACTAGTGTAATTTAACATATTTTACTATTAATTTACTAAGCATGGCAGCCGAGAAGAGAATTCAATAAACTGAGATCCAAAGCAAATGAAGTCAAACGCCTTTAAACAAAGTTCTTCTTTAGCCACCTTTCATGATTAAGGCTTAAAAAAATTAAATACTAAAATTTTAACTATAATTATGACCGATTTAGTTTAATTCAGTTGGTATTATTGTCGATACATTATACATATAACACAAGATTAAACATATTAAATGTTTAACATCCTTCGGTTTATAGATGAAAAAGATTTTTTTTTTAAAGAAATCACTAATTTCTTTAAAATAGGAAATATCCTAAATTACAATAAATATTTTTAATTATAATCGTAAATTAAGCATATAATTAGGACAATTTTCTATAATCATTGAAACAAAACTAGCAACTTATGATCACATAAGGACCATACAAGGAAAGATTAAAATCTAACCAAGAAACTCGATCAAAGATAGATACAAACATATCTGATCATCTCGGTAAACGAATCACAAAAGGGGATCAAGCTAGTGAAAGACCGCCAACAATTCGCAAATCAGACTCGAGCGACGTAAAAAGCTATCCATTAACACATAATGGGTATCAAATTCAATCTTAGGGTCCAAAGCAAGAAAGATCAACAATATAACATATAAGTGACGTATTGATCAGTCGTGGCGTTGTCTAATCAACCATTGGAAAAAGATAAAAGAAAACAATGACCACACGACTGAAAAACGTACTAAAACGCAGAAGAAAACGTGTCATAAAGGAGGAAAATATGTCATACATGTAGACTTATTGAAAATAAAAAAATAAGAGAAAATAAAAGGACAATAAAAAACATTGACGGTCGGCAACCAACATTAAAGTTGATGTGACCACCAGTCAACAAAGACAAAAAGAAAAAGAGATGAACGGCTTACTAATTAGAGAAAACTAGAAGAGAAAATTTGTTAGATGAAAAAGATTTATATAATATAATTATGGAATCGAATTACGAAATGAATTGACTAATATTATTCTAAAACAGCTATGGACACATTCTAAACCTCACAAGTTGCAGCTTTTAATTTAGCTAAAACAATTGACGACTCAGCTCC